CTTCGTACAACCAGCAATTCAACGCTTCAATGTTCACTACAATCATCATAGCATATTCATGGGAAATTGCTTGCGAAACACCTGCTAATGTTGTGTTAACCAATACACACATAAAACAGAACTAGGAGTCTAGAGGACCGCTGGGTTTGAAGGATTACCTTTTCCAAGCCATTAATTGTATGAAGTCAATAGACTTTCTTAATGTTGTTCAGCTTCAAGAAAAGGGGTATGGGATCATCGTTAAAAACGAACTTGTTTTAAAATGGGACTAGTCAATATGATAGAAAACCATATGTTTCCTTTATATTTGCTTCTCTTCTAAACTTCAGTCGACTAAAGACTTCCATCACAAAATCATGGTGATTGATCTTGCTCAAATTGAATGCCTTTCTCAACTTTGTGAAGAATGTAACTTTACAATAATTTACCGAGAGGAAGATCACGAAGAGAAAATTAGATTTTTGAGTCGGTAGTCTTCTACATTTGTGGGCCCATCGGTCAAACATCGAGTACGGGTAAACAATATTGAGGAAATTAGGTATAGTACGACCCAAAATCAAGAAAATAGATTAGTATCCTTAATCTTTAATTAACCTTACATCATACAAGAAATTCGATTGCAAAGTATTTACTAATTTTTTATTTATCAAAAGTGACTGTTTCGAAAGTGACAAACCTTATGTGAAATAAGTACAATCTAGCAGTACATCTTGGAATGATATATGGTCCAGATTCCTTTGAAAAACAACTCTTGCTTTGCACGGATTCTTGAGGCACCGAAACAACAAAGTTGGCAAGGTCATTTTACATTGAATTTTTATATGCTCAAGTAAAATTTTTATGCAAGTGAGAGTGACATACTACTAGTATTATTCCAAAGTAAAAGTGATGTATAGAAGTTTCTAGTAAGTATTTATTCTATATTAGCAAAAAAAATTGAAAGACAATCCGAAATAAAAAGCACAAACACTCAAGTTTTATAAATCTTCCAACTTTCTTTTCTTTGTGGCTTTTTCTTCGTATTAATAGCCAAAATTCCCAATTTCTTCACCTTCTCGTGTACTTTTATAAACATCAACAACAATTTTTTCGATAGTCGGTAGTCTTTGAAATAATATTGTCACCAAATTATGAGTTTCTCAGATCTATAACTGCACATGTCATTCTCATAAAAAGTAGTACCTCTAAAAGTTGTGAACCTTCAAAATATTCAATTTTGGAACATTTTGATATCGTCATGACATTTATGTATAATGAAAACGACTATATTAGACATTGCATGATTTTTAATTAGAAAGTGACATTATGCAAATAAAAGTGGACTTTGACCAATTTTGACTAAATTGAAAGGGGTAAAATGATGGCTTTATATATTTATAAATATTGACAATTAAAATAATAAAACTAAAGAAAAAAAAAAAAGAAAGAAATTTACCCTAACACCTTCATCCCACTCAGAAGAGATGGCAAAAAAACCCGTTCAACTCAATACCCGTGAGCCCTGCTCCGAATGAGACGAGGATTACCCGCCTAGCCGGGTAAACGGGGCGGGGACGAGATGAGAGTCATTGCCCCGAATCGGGTACGGGANAAAGTAATAATATTTACTAACTAAAGACATTAAAAAAATAAAATCAAAAAATAAAATAAATAAAAAAATAAAAAGAAAAAATAAATGAGGCGATAAATAGGGCAGGAGGCCCCGCCCCGTCCCGTCCTGCTTTAACCGAGTATGGGGATGAGACAATGTAACAAAAATACCCAACAAGACGAGGGTGAGAATGGTCGATCCATCCCATACTCGCCCCGTTGCCATCCTTACAACCCACCCCCTATTTTCGTGTTTTCCAACCAATGACATTGATTTTCAACTATGGCCAACCATCGACATCTACCAACACTCGCCGCACGACCTACGACCAAAGCTACTGCCACCACCCTCAAACCCCACACCACACCCAAAAATTATTTCAAGGTTGGTAAAACCCCACCCCAGCCACCTATATATTCACTCAACAACATTCAAATTTCCACACCTTCTCAAGGAGTTTGCAACACAAAATCATACTTCGAAGCCCCAGTTAGGTTTTTTTATTTCTTGTGGGAGACTAAATTTTTGGGCTTTAAGCAGGGAGAAAATTTTGGAGAAAAAAGAAGGAAAAGCCATAATGGTTGGAATCTGTTTCTAATTTCATTTTCTTGTCCAGATTTTTTCTATTCGGGAAATTCATGGGTGGACTTGCCATCATGATTTTTTCTGCCTTGCTTTTTGTAATTGGGGAAAATGAAGATAGGGGAGGAGGCGTGGGTTGGGGGTGTTAGGGGTAAATCTTTTTTCCCCTTTAGTTTTATTATTTTAATTGCCAATATTTACAAATATACAAAGTTACTATTTTACTCCTTTCAATTTGGTCAAAATTATTGAAAGTCCATTTTTTTGATCAACTAACGATTTCATGGACGGTTTCCATCCAGATTGACTCTAGATGTATATTTATGAAAGATTAGGGATTTCCGTTAGCACAAATTGAAGATTAGGGTAAATTCTACAAAAAATTGAAAAGGTTAGGGACATTGCTGCAATTTCTCCTAAAAAGTAACACAATAAGTCATTTTCTAATGCAAAGCAAAAGGTTCTTAATTCATATTTGCATTTTCAAATTGATCCAAAGTAAATTTTCATATATAGTAACTCATCACCATTGATCCAAAGTTGAATTTTCATATATGCTAACAAGAAAAATACCTAAAAAAATCTATAATCTATACGCATTATTCTCAATCAAGATTCAGAAATTCGATTTTAAAAAAGTTCTGAAAATGCACATATAAAAATGTAGAGTCACGAGTTTCTGCAGATTTTAAGATAGAAAAGAGAAAAATATCATCACAATGATATGGAAGAAGTTGTTTCCTACTCTAAATTTGAATTAGATGGGAAGAATTTTGTGAACGTTTTGTCAATTTTTGGATTGGGTCGGTTTAGGGTTATGATTTGGGGGGGATTTCATTGTTATTAATTTATGTTTCACATTAATTTAGACGGTTTTATATGTTAATAAGCGTAAGTAATTGTTAGACTAATTTATATACTGATTTTACAAGTTGATATGTTATTTTAGTGTATTTCTGTAAATTGTCCAACAATATTCTATATATTACAGTTACAATATTTTATAATTGACAAACTTAGTCTTAATAAGAGGAGGTAGAGTAAAAGATTCGTCGGGTGCAAAATCCCATTGTATTTGAGGAGTCCCGACCTCGACTTTTCCGAATAGAACAGCAAAAAGGAACATTGATAGGGATTTATTTACCGTAGGCACCGGTGTAGATCTACACTGGAAAAAGACAAAGAACCCCAGGCATGAAAATAAACAATCCAAGGAACATAATAAGGATATGAACCACTTAAGGTACTAAAGAAACGAGAATAATAACTACTAATTCAAGTCCATAACTATATATTTTGCAATTATTGTGGTGGAGAATATGACTCGAAATAATTATAAAACGTGTTGACTAAAAAGCAATTTATAGTGGTCTATATGTCTAAATAAATGACGCATTGGAGAAGAAAAATAGCACAATCTTAAAGGTGTGTTGTTTATTAGCAAGGCCATAGTTATTGTGTAGGATATATGGGATAATAAGTCAAATGGTCACCGAACTTTACAAAAGGTTTTTACGGGGTCGTTGAATTTTAAAATCACCGCATTCCTCACTAATCTTCTCAATTTGCAATCTCGTTCATCACTGACTTCATGGTTCGTCAAAAAATTGACAAAATGCGGACGTGGTACTATGTTTCAGCTGATTTGGCATCCACGTAGCCATGTGAGGTCAATGATGAACGGAATTAAAAATTGTAAAAGTTTAGTGATGAATGTGGTGAGTTTTAAAGTTGAATGACCCCGTGGAAACTTTTTGCAAAGTTTAGTGACCATTTGAGTTATTATCTTTAGGATAGATAGTCGATTGGTTTTTTGAGGCAGAGCATTGAATTGCTATGAAGAATTGTGCTAATCGAGGGTTCAAATCTCTCTCTGTGGTGTGCCTAGAAGGTTATCTCCCGAAGCACTTAATTGGAGTATTTACCCTTCTACATTTGGTCCACACGAATGAAACAAATTTTAACATAAATACAAAAAGAAAAATTGTATTGTTCATATTTAATATGAAAATACACGTTAACCTAGATCTCAAATATTATAATAAAATTTTCATTTTAGGTAAGACAAACCAAAAAGGTTGTGTGGCAAAAAAGAGAAAAAGTGACCTTGAAAAATGATCTCTCTTTGGGAGAGGCATTTTGAAAGGTTGCATTACTTTCAAAGTCACAAAAAAATATATACTATACCTAGATAAAACTTTACTTTTTACATTGATGATTTAGTAGTCACATAAAACTTTTTCAATAATATTGGACTTATTTTCGTCTGCGCAAGGAGTAAAGTGATGGTAGATGATTTTATTTATAATTAAAAGTAATTTTTATAAACTCGATTGTACACCATAATCCGTTCTAGTGGAGGTAATACTTTGCGGACGATGACGGTGTAACAAACACTGAAGTCCACATCTATTCTTTGATAATCAAATGAGTATTTTTCTAACCACCAACTATATTTATTTATAATTTCAAAATCGTTTCCATATAATATTCTTGAAGTTGATTGTAAAGAACCTTATTTAATACGGTGTAACTCTCATTTTCTCAACGTTCTCAAGCTGGTTTCTGCAATTCTGCAGCAATCTTTTGAATTGGCCATCTTTGTCTATGGCTTGAAAAAAGAAAAAAAGAAAAAGATGAAGATAAAAAGATGAACAAGAAATGGAAAAGTAGTCCACTTTTGATTTAATTCTTTTCTATTGCCATTATAATTGGCTATGCAAATTGCTCCTTATTGATTTGTAAACAAACTAGAGGAACCCTTATTTAGAACTTATAAGTACCAGTTCTGGAGCATTGTCCTCAGTGATAAACTTGTTATCTATAACTAGTTAAAGCTGATTGGGTACTTAGCTTGTTTGTTTGGTCGGAAGAGCCCGAAAAATTTCTCATATTCAGGGCTCTTCTGATCTTCATCAAACATAGCAAAAATGTAAGTTTCTATAGCTCGTCCAGGCCTTTTTGGGGTCCCTGTCTTTACGCGTTGCACCAAATTCGTATTATAGGTCCTTGCATTATCAATGGACGTGTCTTGTCCTCCAGCCGAAGGCCAACCACTCTCCGACACAACAATTTCCAGAGATGAGCCACCAGTCTTTTCAAGTGCTGCATACACGGCATCTAATATTGCGTAGAAAAGATTCTGGTACCGTGTTCCATCAGGTGTTACAATTCCAGGAGACGTAAAAAGAGCATATTGAAGACTAATCTGTTGTGGATTACCAATGCGTGCAAAATACGGGTATATGTTGACAAGTAAAGGGGCTCTGTTGTTTACCAAGAACTGAATGATCCCTCTAAGATATTGTTGAACTTCAGATCGAAATTCCCCATCTGATGGAGGATAAGATTTTCCGAGCACGCCGGTTTCAATAGAAGTAGAAACCTTAATCTGGTTCGCAAGTCCCGCGGCAGAAATTGCAGTTTGAATATTTCTCATGGCAGGGAGGACATATTGTACAAACTGAGATGTGTCACCTTTCAAAGGACTCACTTCATTTCCAACTGCAATGTATCTAAACCTGACATTAGGATAGTTTCTTACATTGTTTTGAACCCAAATATTTGCATTATTTTGGTTAGCAGCAAGTCTCTGAAGGTCAGTGTTTGGGACACCTAGCATGAGCTCAATGTTGGAGCCTCTAAGAGCCTGAAGAGTAGGCTGGTGTGGGTCGTAGATTCGCATTCTTCGGATGTTATTCTGGTTGTATAGCGCTACGACTTCTGATGGAGGTGGCAATCCATTCCCGAGCCTTCCATAACGAACTCCTGTCTGAGCCACTGTTCCATAATGAACATAAAATTACTGATTGTGTCTGTTAAAAGTTCATGGAACAGTAATTTTCCGAAAACATTTCTATCAAAAGATATGGAAAAGTTACAAACTGAGTGTTAATTACCTTATTCATTTGAACTATAGTATTCATTTCTATTAGCTAAATATGCCTATTATTACACAAGTTATTGTGGAATGATAAGACGAAGTATCAGTGACTGACTAAGCACTCATTTAGTGTTCGTTTGATTGCAATGGTGGAAAATGGGTGGAAAAAAAATGAATTTCAGAGAAAATAATTGTCTAGAACTTGTTTTTCAGGGAATTGTTAATTAAGTGTGTTTGATTGGTTTAATTTTCAACCATAAAATTTTAAAATTTTGGATCTTTTTGTGTTCGTTTGACTTTGTTTTACATGAAAATTGTCCATTAAAGTGACAATTTTTTCCACAATTGATTATAAAATTTGTTTCCATTGTCAAAAAGAATTTTTTTTCCAAGAAAATAATTTTTTATCAAACTTTAGTGTTCGTCTGGCTTTGTTTTACATGAAAATTGTCCATTAAAATGATATTTTTTTCCGCAATTGGTTATAAAGTTTGTTTCCATTGCCAAAAAGTAAAAAAAAAAAAGAAAAAAAATTGTTTCCTAAAAAAT